GGGGGTGGATAGGCATGGGGGTATGTGGAGTGAGGTAGTATGTGAATGGGTATGGGGTTTGTGGGCTGTGAGTGTGTGGGTACGTAGGGTGTGGGGGAGGGTGTGGGGTTTGTGGGGGTGGATAGGTGTGGGGAGTATGCGTGTGTGAGTGTAGGGGAGCATGTGGATGTGTGAGGTTTGGGTGGGCATGGGGTGTTTGGAGGGCTATGAGTGTGTGGGCAGAGGGTGGCTGTGGAGGGTTGCGGCATGTGTGGAAGGGGATGGTTTTCCCACAGCACCTCCCTCCCTTCCTGTGGCATGCAGAGCCCCTGCCGGTGATCCTCTAAGCCTGGGCTCCATGCTTCCGCTGCTCCTGACCCCCAGGCACCAGCTCAACCGTGTGCTCCCCCTCCTGTCTGCCACTGTTGCACTTCTGCTGCTTCCCTGTCCCTCTCTACACTTGCCACTCCAGCACCACATCCTAGCTGCAGGGCCAAGACTGCTGGATGCAACAGGAGCTGGACCGGCCTAGCTGGCACTGCATGGAGCCAGCCAAGAATTGCAGGGGCCAGGCCAGCTTCTGCTGAGTCCTGTGGCCTGGTACTGCAGCTGGGCACCACGTGGTGCTGGAGCAACCACGGCAGGGGGCGAGGAGAGGAGTGGTGGTAGTGGCGGGCAAATGGCTGTGACAGGTAGGGGGGAGTGGGAATGAGCAGGCACACAGAGCATAGTGACAGCTGGACAGGAACCCAGGGCCATGCTGGTGCCCCAGGGCCAGTGCTGGTGGGGCCCAAAGTGGGGCAGCAGGAGCGAGGGTCAGGAGGACCACAGAATTGCCTGTGGTCCTCCCCTGCATCCCCCCCCCCTTATCTGAATTTCCCTCTGGTGCAGGCAAGAATAGTCTCAGTGCCCCAGGCCAGAAATCTCTGTGAGGCACAGGCTTCTGGCTGGGGGCAGGGGGCAGAGCCAGGTGGGCCTTGCTTCTGCAGCCACTTGGTCCTGCCAGCAGCTTCCCCCAGGTTCTACTGCTCCTGTCTCCTGTCATCTCTGATAGGCAGCCAGGGGCAGATAAATATTAATTTTCTAAAATTTTTAGGGGCCCCACAGGCCAGATACTATGGTCTGGCAGGCTAGATCTGGCTCACAGGCTATATTTTGCCTACCCCTGGTCCACAGGGAAACACAGGTTCTCGCTCATCAGGATGCACCCTCTGTCTTCTCACTTCTCTTATCAGGAAGGCTTTTCAGAGGGTAGAATGCAAATCAGTCAAATTGTGTCATCTGTGAACAGGACACTCGGTGAAAAGAAAAGGTCCTATAGCTAAATCTTCAGGTGGATTAACAACTAGCAGAGCAGTCAGGAAGCAGAGGAGACTGTTATAAGAGTTGTTGAAGCAGTAAAAGTAAAAACAGGAGAGCCCCAAAATATGTGGGCCATAGGAAATGAAACAGTCTAAAAGCCGTGAGTAATCAGCTGTGTCAAAAACAGGCTGAAGATTAAAGATGATGAGACCAGACAAGACCCTCTTGGCTTTGGGTTTTGCCCAGGCGGAAGACTTCGGTGACCTTTAGCAAAAGCAGTTTCAGACAAATGGTAGGATCAGAATTAGGAAAATGGAGATCAAGTGAAGGAGGCTCAGGGAGGTCCTGAAGTAAAAAATATATTAAGATGAATAACTAACTTATTAAGAAAGATTCCTTGAATTTGACTTGACAAGTCAGTGCAAGTATTCTGAAAGGGAAAATCCTGTGTTTGGGAATAAAGATACCTGATGTAAGTTGTAAGAAAATGTGCATACCGAAGTGTAAATAGAACAGGAACTTTTAGGTGAGACTAAAAGTTTTAGTTGAAACTATGAAACTATGAAATTTTGAATTACAAGAATAATCCTCTAATAATCACTTTTTTAAAATTAAAAAGAAGCATTCTATTCACCACAACTCAGACCATACAAATACTAGAGCTGAACTAGTTTGCCTTTGCCTTGAAAAAGAAGAAATAAGAATACTACTAATTTCTGATCAGCTGGTAGGTCTCAGTGACATGACAAGCCACATTTAGCAGCTTGTCCCTTCTCGCTGTAGTTCTGTAATATACACTCCTTGTTCTAGCAATCACTTGTAGTGAAATTCCAGAGAGAACAGCTAATAGAGTCACAGCAGTCTACCTGTATTATAACAGGAGGGGACAGTGATTACCAGAGGAGACATTAAACAACTCAAGATTAAGTGATGCTGTAGTTTTTCAAGCCTTGGAAAGACCTCAATGGAGCTTGGCATTCTTGGCTTCAAAATTACCCACTGCCAACAAAATTTTTGTATTGTCTGTACAGAGGAATGGACCACTTGCTTATGGGAAAAAAAAAAACCTTATACAACTTGCACAGTGCTAGTTGTTATCAGTATTGCAATCTATTGATATCCAGTATGGTAACAGTATCAACACAACCTTAGTTGAACCATCATGTAATACACCAGGATAGAGTAAACAGTGATAAGTAACACAGTGGATAGCATCAGGTGGTGTGTTTTCTGTCTATACTTTGGAGTATTGGAAAGTGGCATTTCTCTTTCTGTCAGAATTTTTCCCTTCCTCTGCAGAATCTGTTGATGAGAAAGTTGTAATTATCATTTGTGCACAACATGCAAGATAAATGTATTTTTGTTTACTGGCATAGTTATACTCAGAATGCGGTCTTTCAAATCTATAAATGAACACTTCTGCCTATCCTTATACATATGCAGGCTAGATCACAAAACTACATCTTAAAACTTCTGTTTCTACTCTTCAAAATATCATCTTTCTGGAAAATTTAGGGCAGCTTCTGTGCTGGCTTCCATTTATATCTGCAGCAAATCTAGCCTCTAGCCAGGAGCATGTCTCAAATAAACAAGAGAGTATTGCAGACACAAATTCCTGAAATATTTGTGGAAAACAGAAAAACAAGATTTTTAAGATGACTTTTTGAAATAGAATGTTCTGAACATCACCTCTTAAGGTCAAATACAAATGTTATTACTATGTAGTGGTATACTCTACTTCATTCTGATACTCAAGAGTCATACTGCTATGTTCACCTTAAATCAACAACAACAGCAAAATACTCATGCGGCTTAATTTCCATCAGTGGGATACATTCATACACGATGCTTTTCCAATTACATCACTGTAAATTTGATCCAGATGCACTGCAAGGTCAGGGTACAGTTTGGGTAGGGGGTAGAGAAGGAAAGACAGAAAATTGTTCCAGAAACACATCTTTCACTAATATTTAAAAGACCTGTCAGCAACAGAAATTATCGTTGTATTTTCTTAATTTCTCTTGGCAATCAGCAAGTTTAACTGATATAAACAGAGCTAAAGACAGAAAGGGAAGGTCTCTCATGGGAAGATTTAGTATGGCAATAAGTCAGAATTGGTAAGGTAGTAAGAGTTTGGTATGGCAATAAATCAGAATAGGGAAGGCAATAAGTCAGAATTTGTCTTCTGAAATGTTGTTCAAAGGTAGATGTGGCAATAAAGACCGCACCATGGAAATCAGAGCCAGAAGAGAGAACTGTATAGCCATAAGAAAAGAACTTGGTGTGGGTTTTCTTTTAATTTTTTTATAGAAATAAGTATACTATACTACAACATATATTCCTATTACATCTTACAGTATTCTGATAAAGGGCCACTTCTTGCTAATGCATCTAGCAAGCATAGGCAAGGCATCTATGTATGCTTATTATTGTGAGTATAGCAGTGATTAGCCTCTAATTGTGGTGCCTATGAAAGATATTGAGCCAGATTCTGGTCCCTCTGGGGCTGATTCCTGCCAAAACAAAGCACTGAAAGACAATTTAGTCAATTGTCTAAATAGTACAGGAAAATCCCTGTGTGGTGCAGGGCTAATGGACATGTCTTTGTGACTTTCTCTGAATTTCCTCTTGGCATAGTAGAGTTTCTAAGAGAAGTGACCCTAGCCAAAGAGCTGCTGTACACCAGCAATCTCTGATTTCCCCAGTGGTATAGGGGACCCTGCAAACGGTTGCAAATTAGAGCAGGGCTGATCCAATAGTAGATGTCCCTCAGATCCTGAGCCAAATGAAGTCATCTAAACCATTAGAGTTGGGCCCTATTAATTTTATGTCACTGATTTTAGAAGTTAGAGTGAGTTCATTGGAATTACTCAGTCATGAGCACTATTCATGGTAGTAAGCACTTGCATTGTGGCAGACTGTTTCCTAATGGAAAAACAAAGACTGAGTCATGTACATTGAAACATTCCGTGGGAAGATGTCAATTCCTATGAAATTCAAAGAGCACACAGGCCTGCCTCATGCATTAATGGGGGACCTAGGTCATGGGCCATAGGTTATAGACAACTTCCAGGCTCTTGGGTCTTACAACCAGCCCTCCTGGCAGGTTGAGTCAGAAGACTGGAAATCCAAGTCCCCAGGCTCATGATTAGGCAGATTCCCAAGTTTTTCAGGATCCCATCTTACAGGCAACACAGCAGGTAGATTATTCCAGCCTGGTTTGTTGGCTCCCTGTGAGTGGACTTGCTCAGTGGTTAGGGCCATGACTGAGACCAGTGGGTCCAGGCTGGGGAACAAAAGCCAAGAGACAGAAATCAGGAATAAGGAAATGAGGCAACAGTCACATTCGGGAGTGTGAGAGTTGAGTAGTTAATGATGAGCAGTCACCAGAGGCATGCTATCCAAACAGGTGGTGGGTAGGGATAAATGACCTAACGTATTACTGCTAGCTAAACAGGCTGACTGGAGCTTACTGCCAGTATCCTGACACTATGAAATCCCAGAAGGTCAAGGAGCCCAGTTTTTTTTCAGCAGTTGCTCTATGCTTTTTTGTTTCCTATCAACCCATTAGGCAGAAGATAATATGTACTATAGTGGTTACAGATTTAAAGCTAAGTGTCACTGCAAACTGCCTAAACACATGGACCTTCACAAATTTACCATGTTACTATTACCCCTTAGGGATCACCATCCATTCATCTACTCTAATAGTGTCCCTTGCTCAAATGAAAAATTCACCTGATTAGTGGTGTTGTCATTGACCTTTTTATCCCTGCTATGGACACTTCACAGGCACTTACAACCCTCTTTAAACCATATAATCCACTACAGTCCTTGTATCTTTTCCCATGTCCTTGACTTGTGTTGATTACCACGACGTGCAGTTCCATGGTTGTTTTTGCTGGCCTCTGAACCCTGCCTACCTTTTTGCCTCCAATCCCGCACAGCATTCTGCATCACGTCTCCAGGGTCAGAGCCCCATCTCTAAGCTTCATTCTGGATGGCATGACCAACTTCCCTTGGTAAATTCTAATTGCTATGTCAAGAGTTAATTCTAGCTCTGCCTGTAATCTCTCTCAGAATTGTTTTGTTCCCATTTTTAGTCACTAATAGGATCCGGTTTTCTATTAGCAACTTTGTTAATCCCTCAAAATTGTCAGATCGGCCCTTCATCCTTAGACCTATCATGAACTCCTTCATGGTTTCACCTTCTTTTTGTAGTCCCTGTTTAAAAACATCTCCCTCTTGTATTTTATTTTTACATGAAGAATGGTACTCAAATTTCTCTCTTTTCAGAGCTAGCCTTTGCCTGAGTTAACTGAAAACTGTTAAACACATCAAGTACTTTCAAGCTAGCTGTTCTCAGAAATAAGGCCACATTCTGTCTGTCTTCATTTTCTGTTTTCACCCATTGGTTGCAAATACAAAGCAAAGTGCTGTTTAAATCTTCTCTTCAGTTGTTCTCCAAGTTTCCAGAGAGTTTCAGCTCTTCCACTGAGGCTGTTTTCTTCTTCCTTTTTACTCCTAGTCCCAAGTGGTATTCAGTGATCATTAAGTGCTTAAAGTTTTTGCAAAAGTTCTGCTTTGCTCAATGTCTGGTTCCAACTGACTGTGCATAACAACACCGAGGGCTTTGCAGTGCCTGCCCAGACTGCTCTGTCTGGGAAACTCATTTTTTAAATGAGTGGGAAAATTGGGAGAAAGGGAAGCAAAGAGTCCATGACATGGGGTACAGGGAAGTACGGCATAATGTCAGAGAGCTGTGAGGGACAGTCAGAGCACATAGCAGAGGAAAAAACGTGGTGCACACAGCCCTTTGGCATGAGACAGGGACTGGAGGGGGACAGGTGTGGGATGCCCCTGACCTCTTATGGGTGGGGGTGGGGAATGTAGGAATGCGTACTGTATGCAATGAGTTTAGCCTAAAGATCTATGAAGCATGTGATCCTTTGGTATGCATTATTGATGGCAGCTAATTTCTTGGTGGACTGGTGTCCATTTCACAATTAGTACTCTTGGTAACTGAGGGAAGAGCCCAAGGATTTCCTGGCCATAGATTCTGCTCTCTTGTCTCACTGCCAGAGGTGCTCCTTTGAAGAACAGGGCTGAAATATGTGCATGATCCAAGAGAGGAAACCTGCACTGCTACAGTGCCTGCTTTTCCTAGTCAGACACTAAACAGAGGGTCACATTCTCTCCTATGGGGCTGTCCAATTTCTAAGTGGCCACGGATCACACACTGCATAGGCCACACCAGTGCAGGCCTCACAATGCGAGGGGTTGCACTAATGCAAGCCACAGGCCCCCAAGCTGCACTCCCCCAGCTGCACCATGTGGGCAGGAGCTCCCCCCCCCCCACATACACACCACTGCATTGGACATGAGTAGCCACGGCTCTGTGCACACGGGCAGCACTTTCCTCCCTGCACTGTAAACAGCTCCCCTTCCTGCAAAATGCTGTATCCTGTGTGTGGACAGCCTCTCTTGTCACCACTGCATGGTGGATAGGGGCAGCTATTGCACCATGCACATAGGCAGCACCCCCTAACTCCATACCACATGCACACGTGGCCCTACCTCAGTTCCCCTGGTGCCGTGGGCTGTGTCACCCTGCTGCCAAGGCAAGAGCAGGAAGCAAGAGCTGAAGGAGCAAGGAGCCTACAGACCCTGGCTGCACCAGCAGTCAGAGTGATAAGCAAGGTGGTGACTGGGTAGGAGCCTGGGGAGCAACATATTAATTTCTGGACGACTTATGGCCTGCAGGTCACCAGGTGGAAAGGTGTTCTTCTGTATTGCTGTGACAATCACATCTGTAGCGCTACCAGCATGGTTAGCTTAGTGCCCTACTGAATCCCACTATTGCTTAGGTGCATGTGAGGGGCAGAGCTAGGGCATGGCTGAATCACTCTGAGCTCCAGCACAGCATTTCCCAAATGAAGGGCTATGACCCCAAGTGGGGGTCTGTCTGTTATGAGTAGGTTTGCAGGCTCCATAAAGGCCCTATTTTCCCCCACCCACAATTATCTAAATGTTTTGATTAACTAGGAATCGGGACTTCTCATGCCTCAGGTACTAATTGTCCCTGTTCCTATTCCTACACCTGAGTGTAATGAATAGGGTTAAGTGTTCCAATTTAGCTTTCACATACTGCAGAATAAGAGCAGACAACTTTTTCTGTACTAAGCACAGGAGAGAATCTGGCCTTAATCTCCAAGGAAGTCCATTAAATCCAATTTGCAAGTATAGAAACCATAAAGAAAATAAGAATAGCTACAACTGCTCCAACAGTAACAGCATCCTGGGAAGCCATTTGAACTGTTAGAAAGATTTGAGAGGAGGGAGAAAGCAAAGTATGCAAAGAATTCTTTTAAATGTAGTGAGAAGTGATGTTGCTGTGTACAAACCTCACAGTCAATACAGTGCTCTAAACAGCTCCTGCTAGGGATGGTGTGTCTGCCCAGAAGGGAGAAGTCACAATCAGTTAAATAGCCACCCAAGAAAGGAAGATAATTGAATCCTGTTTCCGATACAATATATGAACATGCAGATACAGAGCTGCAAGACATAACAAACTTGACATGTGACATAGCTTTTGATATTTCACAGGTTTGATCTCTGTTTTGGAGTAAGGAGTGTATCTATACATTTCCTATGACACGATTAAAGAGAATTAACTAGGCAGGTTATTACAAGCATTCTGTAATTGCAAATTAAGACTATTTTGAAAAACAAAGCAACTTGATGACTTGCAAATACATTCTTAATGATAGTCCAAATTGTCTCTAGTAGTTTAATAAAATTATATTGTCACTGCTTCAAAATAAGATATATGAATATTAATCCAATATTGTAATCCCTTGATATTTCTCCATATCACTTATTCATTTGTGAAAACATTCATCATTTCATTATGGTTCAAAATCTTTGGGGAAAGGTATATTTTTGGATGGGTTGACGCTTGCACTTTTTATTGTGGAACTTTTCACTTGGTGGCCATTGTCCCATTGAAAGCATGCAAAACAACTGTGTTTCTTTTGTGAATTAATATTACCTGGAAGGGATTTTGAATTCTGAGTCTCTAGAATGGAAATTTGACAAATGATATGGGTTTGATTTAAAAATAGAACTTTTTTGGAGTGAATCTCATGTAACTTTACTCAGAAATGGTTCTGGTTTTTACCTTGCACTGAAATTTCATGCTCATTTTGTAGAAGTTAATCACTTCCAAAAAAATAAAACTGATTTTTTTAATTTGCTAATTTAACATTAAAGTTTTCACATGCATCTATTTATTATCATTGGCTTTGTATTTTATAGGAAGGGGAAATAGAGAATTAAATGTTACTTTTCAAAATCTGCATTGACTGGCAACAGAAATGTTTCTGATCTATGCACTTTTTAGTCCTTTATCAGTTCTTTATTGGCTAAGTTTGTCTTGGTGTCCAGTACAGCTTTGGTTACCTCCACAAGGTTAACAAAACCATTTCAACACTTCTTTTTATCCTCTATTAACTCACTATGCAATTGAATCAAAAGGTTGAGGGGTTTTATTAAATATTAAAGCTTTCTTTTAAAACTCTATGGTTAAATGTTTTGAACATGAGAGTCCAAATCTATATCTCTAAATCCATTATTTAGGAATGTATCTAGGAATGGTTTCTTGCTGCATGCACCTAAGTTTGAAGATGTTGATCTATGCTGTGAGTCTGAGATTTTGGTTGCTAATTTTTTTTCTCAGTGAAAGAGAAAAAAAATTTGTGTGTAAGGTATAAACATCTTATAATTTAACATAGACAAGATCACATGATCCTGAGAATGTCAGTACTGTCAGAGAAATTGTCACGTTTTTCGTGTGCGTACATATGTGCCTGTGTTTGTGGGTTGGATTCTTATTCTCATCAGTGCCAGGAAGGCAAGAGGAAGAGAAAGTAAGAGCTAGGATAGGAAAAAAATCAAATTAGCCACTTCTTATGCTTTGGAATCCTTCCCTATAAGAGCACCCTGCCTCTCTAACTTGAAATACCTCTCCCTGTCACACAAGTAGCTTTTAATGGGTTACTTATTTAGGCAGGTTGAAATTCAGCCCACTGCAAAGGCTCCTACAAGATCCTAACCACAACTTAGTTAAAAGGCAGACATGTAGGTGGCACAAAGGGTCTTAGGTAAGCCCCATAAGCTGCAATTAATTTCACCCATCCTGATCCCCAAAGTTGCAGGCAGTTAATTATCCACTGAAGTAACCTAATAAATAAATGGTTAATGTCTCTGTCATTCCCAGATAAGACT